GGTTTGGGGTTTCGGGTTTAGGGTCGGGCTCACGGACCCAAAAGGGTCCTAAGTACCTATATAATAAATAGAAAGTAGGGTTTCCATAGCAGGAAGTACTGCTGTTATGTTTTGGGCAAGTATCCGCCCATATAGGTACTTAGGATCCTTCGGGGGAGAAAGCGCTTGAGAAGAAAGCTGCTGTTCAGGCCGCAGAGTTTCGGGAATCTTCATCTTTTCTTCATGTTCCAGGGTTTAGGGTTTAGGGTTCCCTGGAAATCCAGAAAAGCTTTAGCTATTTCAGGGTAAAGGATTTGACTTTTGCAGGCATGATCTGCAATCTTCCCGAATCGAGCTGGTGAGGTTGACCAGTGTCCGTGTCGCTATCTCTCCTGCAACACCCAAAGAGTCCTAAGTACCTATATTATTATATAGTAGAAGGCAGGGCTTCTAAAGCGGGAACGACTATTATGGTTTGGGTACGTATCCCCCGGTATAGGTACTTAGGACCCTTTGGGAAATGATCGTCGTCTCAACTTTATCGGGGTCCTGGCTTGCACTCACTCAACCCGAGGGGCATGAACCCTCTGTCTGAACTCTTCCCCCTCATCACACTAAAATAGGTTTAGGGTTTAGGGTTCAGGGTTCAGGGTTTAGGGTTTAGGGTTTATAGTCACTAAAATAGGGGCCTTAATAATTTAGGGCTTGGGGCTTTTGGGGTTTAGGGTTGAGGATTTATAGCTGGCCCCTATATTTAACCTCAGCTCCTACATGCCCACACCCACGTGCAACCCCAGTCCCGCCACAGCAGTCTAAACTGCAAGAAACACCAAACTCACATGCCAAGGTCGGCACGAACAGCAGGGTCTTCTCGTCTCGCCAATGCCTCCCGGGCAAACGCGGGGTTATAGGGGTTCCCTAAGGGGACATGTGCCCAAATAGGAGATACTTTGGCTCCAAAGCACCCAAATAGGGACGACTTTAAGGCCAGAGTATATACGATTTAAGTACATGGACCCTTAGGGTTTAGAGCCAGGTTCGAGTTTCTGAAAGTATGCCTTGGCGGGTTATTCTAAGGGTTCTAGAATGGCATGATAAGATTTGGGCTTTGGTGGGGTTTAGGAATCTAGGGTCGAGGGCTTCGGACGCTGAGTTCAGGTGGCGTTTTGGTGTAGGGTTTAGCGTTTAGGGTTCAGGGTCTAGGGTTCAGGGTTTAGGAGTTTAGGGGTTCACGGTTTAGGAGTTTTGGGTTTAGGACGAGTCGCTCGAAGAGGATAGTTAAACTTGGTGCTTCGTTGCCCTCGTCAGATTTCATCTTCCGTATGAAGGCATCTTACCATCAATGTTAGTGTACAGATTTGTATTAACATGAATATTCATATTAATATGGACCACGGAAGGTAATATTGATACCGTACATACATACATGCATACATACATAAATACATACATACATACATACATACATACATACCTACATACATACATACATACATACATACATACATTCATTCATTCATTTCTCTCTGAAGTGTTAGCTCCAAGGGCGAACAGGCGGACCTTGCCCTGAGTGTGATTTGGGAAGCTGGGACCGCTGTCCGCACCGATCACGGTACACGCGAGCACGGCCTCCATATGCAAAGCACGACGGCCCGACCGAAGTCGAAATGTGCCCTGCATACGAACATGCATATATACATAAATAAACATACACATAATATGATCGTAGATTCCCAAGCATGTTCCAGCATATGGAAGATCAATTACAAACTAGAGTACATGATAGTTCGATTTTCGCATAGTATATATGGGGGTTCCCGAAAATAGGGGAACCTAATGTAGTACCCTACATAGTAGGATCCCTATCAAAAGTTTAAACTTTTCTTTTAGTAGGGGTTTAATATACCACAAAGTTTAAAGTTTACCTACTGGGCTCCTAAGGCAATGCCTGGGCGCCAGCGATCTCAGCAGCTCCTTGTGAGACGACACGGCCTCCTCACAAGACTGCGTGGGTATAGGAGTTTGGGGGTTGAGGGTTTAGGGCTTTAGGGTTTAGGGCTTTAGGGTTTAGGGCTTTGGGGTTTAGGTTTAGGGATTTAGGGTTTAGGGTTTAGGTTTTAGGGGTTTCGGGATTTGGTCTGGTGGTTTGGTGGTTTAGGGTTTAGGGCTTGGGCGTCGGTCATGAGGGCTTCGGCGAGTGAAATCCCAGAGCTCCGAATCTCTAATCTCTCATGTCTGGGCCCAAGCTTGGGTGTTTAGGCACAGGGCTCCCTCCAAGTCCTGAAAATCTTGAAGGACTGATATTTTAAGGCTTTTGGGCCCAAAGACCATTTTTTGCAGGGCTTTTGCGCTACTTTGAGCCTTAGCATACCCTAATTAGGGAATATACTTTCAATCATAACATTAAAGGCCCCTATAATTCAAGGCACATTCCTTAATTCCCTTATAGAACCCCTTATAGATCCCTTTAAGGAACCCTTATAGATCCCTTTACAGCCCCTATAAGTTAAGGCATATTCCTTAATTAAGGGGTATAGGGTTCTCTGGGTAAGCCCGGGACCTTAAACCTGGCTTGGGGGTCTAGACCTCCTAAACCCTAAACCCTAAACCCTAAACCCTAAACCCTAAACCGACCTTGGACCCGGGGATGCTGGAAACTCACTCGGGTTTAGGGGTTTAGGGGTTTAGGTAAAGTTTAGGG